AGAAAATTGCCAAACAAAAAGTCTCAGTGCATTTTTAAAAATCAAAACAATATGAAGGCCTCTTTTTATAAGTTGTCTAAGCATACTCTCTTAGAATGATAGATCAAAACTAGCAGGTTCAAAGTGGTACCAAAGGAAAATGCATCAGTAAATCTCCAAAACTTTGATCCACCAGTCACACACCTCACACAACAGCAATATTCTATTGGATAATGAGTTTTTGTTTTCCCCATGTACCCAGATGTGTGTCATGATAAGACCTCCCTCACACATCAGAAACAAGAAACTCAATAACCTATTAGTCCCCACTCATCTGGCCCTCCTGCAGCATTCTGTTCACCCCTGCAATGATTCAATCATCCTTCCCCAAAAATAACACTAGTTCACTAGTCTATGTATCACTTCTTAACCCACTAAGTGAACCGAACAAGATGATGGTAACAGAAATGCTAAAAATGCTATTTGATCTTCATGAGCTTCATTGCATGTGTATATGTGTTAGTAGGATTAATGCATTTTTCTGTTTGTGTAATTTTTTGTGTACCTCTCCTCTTTGCGGTGCTCCAGACACTTTTTAATTCTCCACGCAAGGCAGTCGTTTTTTCTTCCCAGTTTCCTAAACCCAAATTTCATTCCCACACTAAAACAGCCTTGCTCCATGTTGTCCCCTTCTCCTTCGATTGTGGTCTCATCTCATCTCTCCCCCTTGCAGCTGTCCAGTGAGTCAGTTGTCTTTCAGCTTTGTCCTGTGTTTTTCACTGTCTCATCTTTGCGCCGAAAGTAGCAAATGTCCAACTCAAGCAGTCTTTTCAAAGTCCATTCACACACAGTGAAGTTGCAGCTCCTTGGAAATGCACATCCATCCATCCAGTCATGATGATGCCATTTTTTCTCCTTGCTGTCACTGTCTTGCACAGCTGCTGCTGCTGGACCTTTTCTTCACTGCTCAGGATACTGCTGTGAGCTCTTGAGATCCATCTCATTGTTCTGTAACTGCATTTCTTGTCTTCAGGGAGAGATTCTTGGAGCTTGTGTTCTCAGGGTGACAAACACATGGAAGTTAAACTGTAAAACAATTTAGCCAAAACTTGGCTTGAGTGTTTCTAATGGTGTTAACCTATAATTTTCTTCCGACTGCTGCACGTGGAAAATTGATCCAGGTCTGCTCTTCACCTGCAAGTGACACACTGAGACATTTTGATCATTCTTCTCATTGCTTAAAACAACACGTCTCCCCTCTCTGGTTCTGAATTCTCCTTTCTTAAAACCCAGAAAGATTTTAGTTGTTCTACGTTGAAAACCACCAAACCCTCTTCCTATTTTTGCTTATTTTTATCAACAATTCTGCTAAAAAAGAAATTTTCGTGTGTCCACCCTAGGGGAGCTGGTGGCCTGCAGTACCACCTTCTCCCTCTAGTTGGAAACAACTTTTACACACATTTCTACACTCCTCTCTCTCTCTCTCTCTTTTTTTTTCTTTGTTCCCCATTTTCAACATTTTGAAACCCCATTTCTCCCTTTTTTTACACACACATCAACTTTTCCCACACAACCATTCTCTGCAATCTTACACACCACACATTTACTCAATTCTTACCATACAGTCACATATTGAGTTTTGTCTCTGGCCGCCTGGTGGAAGGCCTGCCGCTTTACTGGATCCAGCTTCTCATTACTGCACGAGGCGTCCCCCATGAGGTTCCTTGCCTTCTACGGACCAAGAAACGAACACTGCCACTCTGCGCACTGTAGTACGCAGAAATGGACTCCAGACATGTCAGACATGTTAAAATCCAGTGGCACCAAGGCATTACAATAACATAATGTGATTAATACCTAGGTAAAAGAAATTCCTATACAAGTACTAGCTAGCTAACTTGCTCTTCACAAATAAAGCTTCAAGTTAGTCTCTGCCAAGACTAGATATGAAACTACCCATTTGTTTTGATTACACAAGGGCACACATTTCTGGCCTCTTTAGAATATAATATTGTTTAAAGTAAACATTTCAACTGCAAAGAAAGTTTAACAAACATAGATTTTCTACTGCGGTTTATGCTGTCCAGATTCTCAGTCACAGCACCCACACCTCTCATTTTAAGCTGTAATAGTGTCCTAACAGAAGATTTAAAAAATAAAAGTCACACTCTGTACTGTTGTTATGAAGATGGCTACAAGAATGCTGAAGGCGTGCACACCTAAGAGGATGACCATGAGCTTGCTCTGGGTCCCGACCACAAGCATTGTCACCTGCATGAACATGAGTGCTACCACCATCACTACAAGCATATAAAATATACATATAAAATATGCAAGCTGGCCCATTGTTTTTTACCTGGAGACAGCAGTCGCCCCATTGTTCTGACACACAACACTACACACTAACTACAAAAGGCAACACATTAATTACACACTCCAAACATGGTAAACGTCACAAATCTCTCACTTCTTAAAACTCGCTCTCTCTCTTTTTCTGCTGTCTTTCTTTCTCTCTCTCTCTCACCATCACTTCTAAAACTTAACCCTCTTTCTAAACAACCAAATGTCATGTTGCCATATCATTTTTGATTGGTCAACACAAACTGGATGTTTTTTGTTTTGTTTTTTCATTTTTTGGTCATAAGCAGAGAGTGCTTGCTAGCGCTGTCCTTAGCTTAGACAGTAAACGTGACGAAACTATTGAGGAATAAACAGGCGTATATATTTTTATCATGACTCTGGTTTTACGTGGCCTATCAACACAATTTAAAAACTGGTATATATCACATTGTTGCTTTGTCATCTTGAAGTGGTCATGTGATTGGCTTACCACGACTACTTTATTCTTCCTCAGTCAAACAACAGCACTCTTGCAATTGTTTTGCCCCCGAGCTACAGGTGTTGTGACAAAAAGTGATCGTATGCCAGAAAGTGATTGCCGTCCGCGGGAGCGCGCGCAGCTGCTTAAAGCTGTAGCGCCCAGATTACTTACAGCTACTTCCGTGCAACTGATATAAGATGCGGTAAGCTGAACACAGCTTCAACCGTCTGTTTGTTGAAAAATAGTAACGTGACTGCACCACATTTTCTTGTTAGTAACAGTACTGGCGTTGTAACGATAGAAATAGTAATTAGTTAGATTACTCATTACTGAAAA